TATCTTAAAGCACACTATTTCTAAAGGTGGCGATATTATGGACCCTGGTGATATTATGGACACAGATGTTATACATACATCCATATATAGCTTTCAGCTGCCTTCATGAGGATGCATTTCTACTCCTGACCACATGGTGGCGCTGTAACAAAGTGAATGCAGTCACAAAATTGACCGAGTCTTTCAACCCCTGCTGGCTGTGAAAAGAATCACTTGTAAGAAGACATCCCCAATAGCTATAATAACTAGAAATTATGGTATTTGCCATGTCTTTCTCACCTGTTTATATCATGTGACATTCTCATTATGAGGGGGTAATCATGGTCAGTAGTTGACAGTGGTAAATGACAGTGTCTTCTGACGCTGACAGTAGTATGTCAGCAATTGCCAGTAGCATGTCAGTACTGCCAAGACAGTAACTGTCAGTAAGAGATCAGTCAGAAGCTTCAGTAGTTGTCAGTTGCATTTAGTTGTGACAGTTAAGCTGCTTCACTGAATTGTGGCTGGAATGTGACTGTTAACAACTGATCGAAGTTACTGACAGTCAGTCTGTGTATCAGTAATGGTGGTTTCCTAAGGGGTATATATATCCTCTCTTTGTCACATACGTTTAGCTAGAATATTCCTTTATAATCAGTGACTCTTTTTGAAAGGTAGAAACATGAAGAAGAAGAGTCACTGCGATAAAGGAATATTCTACTAACTGATAATTCTACGTGACTGATGAACCTCTTCAACCACATACGTTTAGTTTTAAATAGAGATAGAGGTACTAGTAACCTGTAGCCATGGCGGACGGAACCCTCCCCATCCACACAGCAAGTCCTCTCCTTCTGCGGCATCTACTTCTACTGTCGGCTGGGAGTCAGGCTCGCCTTCAGCTTCTGTAGTCTTACTGGGGCTGGGCAACACAGGGCTTAAGGTCATTCCTGAGTTTTTAAATCATACACTACCAAAAATGCTTTTTCTTGTTTTTCTTATTTTCTCATGGGAAGAAAATTTTTCTTTGGGGGAGAATAATAAGAAAAAATAAGAAAAAATAAATTTTCTGTATACCTACATTCTTGCACCAAGAACAATTTTCTCATTTTTCTTGAGTGGAGATAATTTTTCTAAAATAGGCTTCTTTAAATCTTGATTTTTCTTCGGTGAAGAAATATTTCTAGAGGAGATTCTAACTTACAAGATTAGAATTCTTGTAATCTTGAAATTTCTTTAGTAAAGACAATATTTCTAGGGAAGATTCTAAGTTACAAGATTAAAATTCTTTTAATCTTAAAATTCCCTCAGAATTAGTTAAATTTTCTTATTTAATCTCCATGGAAGATTTCTTACTTACCTGATATCAAAGTGGTCAGATTTAAGATTTTTTTTCTTGTGTTTGTCAAAAAAATTTCTAGTTCATGTTACCGAGAATGATTGAAAAGGGTCATTCTTGTTTTTCTTAGCAATGTTTAAGAAAATACAAGAATGGTTCTTGTCTTTCTTGGGAAACACTGATTGAAAAAGCAAGAAATTTGATTATCGAAATCTATTATTAGAATAAAGCTCTGCTTAGTGTTTCTTTCTTAAGGTTTCTTGTTTTTCTTGACTAGAAAGCTTAAGAAAGATCATTCTTGTTTTTCTTGGCAACATTTAAGAAAATACAAGAATTAAGTTCTTATCTTTCTTGACAAATACTGATAAGAAAAAAACAAGAAAGTCTAATATAAAATTGATCTTTGATTAGGCTGAAGATATGGCTAGTATTATATTCTTAAACATTCTTGATTTTCTTCCCTAGAAAGTTTAAGAAAGACCATTCTTGTTTTTCTTAGCGACATTTAAGAAAATGCCAGAAAGTTTAAGAAAGATGATTCTTATTGTGCCTGGTAATGTTCAAGATGATGTAAGAACTTTTTTCTAGTTTTTTCTTGTCATGTGACCTTTTCTAAACCCCTGATTGGTTGATCAAATCCCAGAATGCAGTTAGGGGGTTTTGAACATAAGTCAGATGTGGGAGCCGCGCTGGTTACTTATTTTTGTCAGTTACTGACTCATGTCAGATTTGAAGTCAAAATGAAATCAAAAAGGACCTTGTGTACATGTGAAGCAATGGTGATCGTGGTCAGCTTGCTGAAGAAACCAACTTTGCAACAGAAAAAGCATGAAACCAAACAGATTGAAGGTAAGTGCGCCCCCCTCCCCACCTATAAGATCTGTTGACATTGTTTTTAGACTTCATAGCCCAAATATTGTTACAACGCCATTGGGGTTGATTTCAAAGTCAAATCATATATCTCTGGTGTATTGTATAGTAAAGTTTATTACAGTGCTTTATGATATAATTCTAAATTGTTTACTCCAAGTAATAAAATAGTATTTTAGCATCCTCTTTTGACTTGTTGCCTTCAGTGCTCGCATGCAAACTAACACAGGTCTTTCTTGTTGTTTTTCAGGTTTCCAAAGGGTGTGACTTTGCCAATTCTATAATGCGAAAACTGCAGTTTTTGCTGAATATGCTTCTGATCAGAATGTAATACGATCTGTATTCTGAAATCATAATGGCTTGTTAGTTACATCGTATAATATTTTGAAAGTTACTGTTAAACTGTTTCCATTCCAAGAATGTTGATGGACTGATTTTATATTTTTAATTAGATACATTGTACAAAAATCAATGTGATAATAAACATCTCTATACTGTCCAAATGCTTTTCAAAATAACATTTTGTTGCTATACATTATTGTCTGTTTTATATTTAGGTAGCACTATATACATTGTATTTCTTTTCTTGTGTACAGAATGGTTTTCTTGCTACAAGAACAGAGTCAGCTCATAGTTCAAGAAATCTTTTCTTGTGTACAGAATTGTTTTCTTGCCATAAGAAGAGTTAGATCTTAGTTCAAGAAATCTCTTCTTGTGGGCAGAATGGTTTTCTTGCTACAAGAACAGTTAGCTCTTAGTTCAAGAAATCTTTTCTTGTGGGGAGAATATTTTTCTTGCTACAAGAAGAGTTAGATCTTAGTTCAAGAAATCTTTTCTTGTGTACAGAATTGTTTTCTAGAAAACTTAGAAATTCTTACTGCAAGAATAATATTCTAAGGATATTTAGTTCAAGATACATAAGAAAAGAAATCTTACCACAAGAAAAATATGCTAAAATGCAGTTTCTTGAAATTCTTGTCTCATGGACAAGATTTTTTTCTTGGGTGAAGAATAATTTTCTCAGTGGAAGAAAAGTTTTCTTCTCTGAAGAAAAACAAGATTGGCATTTTTGGTAGTGTACATAATCTATTCCCTCAATCTCTCTCTTACTCCCTACATACACACAAAGACATGTACACACATATACACACAAAGACATGTACACATATATACACACACAAACACTGTACACACATATATTCACACACACACAGACACACATACGCATATGTACACACATAAATACACACAAAAATGTCACACAAATCGACACACATGCACACGCACACATACCTTAACACACACATGTAACAAACACACATGCACACACGCGTGCGCACCCACACATGCACACACACACAAGCACACACTTTCGATGAAGCAACAGTTGTTTCATACTTGTCCCTTTTCACACACAGTATCAGATCCCTGGCTACAGAACAAAATGGAATATGAATAGTTTGACCTTTCTAGCTGACTATAAAAAGCTGTCATCTGTTGCTGTAACACACACAGTTGTTAGACGGGTCACCAGACTTAAGAAATGACCGGGTCACTGAACAAAGTAACCTCGTACCTAGTCTATCGAGGTTGGAGTAGGCTGTCTTCGGGGCTCTAATAGTTTTCACCCGCCCAGCACAACAGACCGCCCGGTAGGAGTGTTACTCCTGTAGGAGCTTTGCTAAATAGAGTTTGGCACGCCGGGAGTTGATTTCGAGTTGAAAAACCTACCGGAGGAACCTAGCTCAGGCGGGCGGGGAAGAGCTCCTGCAGCCCCGAAGAAAAACCCACCCAACCACGGTGAACTGGATACCAGGTTATTAACATAGCAGCTCACTCACCGATACCGACTCCCCTCCAATGTCTCGTACTCTGGTGGAGTTAGCGCGAAGTTCATCTTAAGGGCGCAGACAAACGTGCAGCTGCGTAGACTTCCCCGTTCTTGGAATATTCTCAGACCCCAAAGCGTTTGGGTGCTGTCTTCATTCTAAACAGTTTGTAGTCTCAAGAACTGTTGTCCCGTACACCATTTTGGGTCTGATCCTTTTCTTCAGTCTACGTGTACGGGGGAACCAGTCGGACAACTATTCACTCACCACTAATTACATCAGACATCGTTCCCACACGAATGAACACAGTCAGATACAACAGGTATTATGTTAAGGGTCTTTGAATAAAACGCGTTGCGCCCTTTGCTCTTTAGCTTAGTTTCTACGCTTATCAATGAAAAGAAACAATCGGACAAGTCAGACTTTACTCCATGCACATACTTCTTTGTGACATTTTTAGTCCCAAAGATAAATATATCAGCACTGAGGAAAGGAGGGATAAATAGTTAACTGAAAACGTTCAAATAATGAAAAACAGACACACAAACAAACTGACAGACAAACAAACAAACAAACAAATCCATCTTCTTATGATAAATTGTAACCGATTCCATTCACCATTATTTTAATACCTTTTGAACATGGTCTTGCCAATATCTAATATAGCAATGAATAGCTAGCTTCTCTATAATCTTGGCACCTCTATACCATACCCGTTAACGCTGCCCGCACATAGTAAATGTACCGAATCATAATGTACACACAGAAACAAACAGCAACAAAAAAGGAACGCAAAAACACCATCCATAAAACATGTACAAAAATATACATAAAACTATGACTTACTCTATATGCAGCATATCTAAATCAACTTTGGACATACATGCCACCGATCTTGTGCCCTTGGGAAAGGCACTTTACACGACTTTCCTCACTTCGCTCAGGTGAAAATGAGTATTGTCCTGTCATGTATTTGTCCCATGTGTTGGTGGCGGCATTAATATAAGTTGATAAAACTTGAGTGTACCGTCACCACGTCTGGTGATTACATGTTGGAATTAAAATAAACTTTGGACATATATGATCCGGCGTTAAAGATTTTCTCTTGACCCAAGTCTCTATGTTCGTAATTTCCTTCAGTAACAACAATGAACGAAGGGAGTTCGTTGTCCCTAGATATTTTCAACAAGTGTTCAAATGTAAAGTAAAGAGATAATTAAACATATTATGTTCAAACAAGTCGCAAATTTAACACGCTGTGATTTCTTGACCCAAGTCTCTATGTTCGTAATTTCCTTCAATAACAACAGTGAACGAAGGGAGTTCGTTGTCCCTAAATATTTTAACAAGTGTCCAGTGGCGGTCGTGGTCTCATTCGGGAGATAATTTTCTGTGTGTACTCATTTGCATATTCGTGATCTCCCGAATGCGACCGCAGCCCCAATGGCACAGTAAAGAGATAATTAAACATTTTATGTTAAAATATGTCGAAAATTCGTTTTAAAACGCTGTGACTTCATACTGAGTATTTCCTTCTGAAGGTTTCTCGGCAGCGTCTTCGATAGGTTTATAGGAGAACATCGCTAGCGCAAAGAAAAGGACGGACACAGCCTTCACACCTAACGTCACGTACAGTATGTTGAGTGACATGGTACCGTTATCGTATAGCCAACACGAGCCTTCCACACCACAGCTAGTCTGGCGCAACAGACAAGTGTTGTCGATCACATACCCGATTAGAATTGGTCCCGGGATGCTCCCTGTGGCACACAACAGAAAAAATTTGTAACTAGAAGGGTATCATTTTCAAAGCAAATGCATGATGTTTAACTTCGGTCTGCTCTGTTAATTCTTACTCCAACACATACATGTACTAGTACATGTATATGGTGACAGGAGGCTAAGTGCCTACTATGAAATTGCAACTTTATGTAACCCAACACCAGTTACCATTGTGACAGACATCAACAAAAGAGGCCATTGGTCAGGTCAGAGGTTAGTGTTTGGAACAGAAGAAGAAATGGAGCAAAAACAATATGTTTTCCTTCGGTAAACATAACTAGAAATATTTGCAAAGCAAATGCATTATGTTTACGCATATGGTCTGCTCTGTTAATTCTTACTCGAACGCATTCACATAGTGGTCCGACAGGAGTCTATTATAAATCCCTCCTGCTATAAAATTGCAACATGATGTAACCCAACACCAGTTACCATGGTGAGAGACGGTCTGGTTCAGGCAATTGGTCAGGTCAGAGGTCAGTGTTTTGAACGGAAGAAGAAACAGGGGAAAAACAATATGCTTTCCTTCGGTAAACATAAAAAAGGCTTCAAATTATACTGAACTTCGGATTGAAACTCTTTCATTCAAAGTAAGTGGCTATACTGTGTAATGACTATCTTTAGTATACTATTAACTCACCCAAAAGCCTGGATAGCACATTTTCCAAGCCCAGCGCGAACGGTCTCTGACTGTCAGGAACACATCTAAGAAATTCAAATCGATCGTTAGTAGTATATCGTGGGTTTCAGTATATAGTGATATGATCTTTAGGAAATGTACTGGGAGTCTACATTCTATGTGTGCTTGTGTATTGTCTTGTCACTTTGAACTTGTTTGAAGTCACTGAAACACATTCAGAACGTTCCCCCGAACTGTTGGCTAAAGTTCGGGAGCATTCTGTAAAGTAAAGTAATGTAAAGTTGAGTTAAGTAAAGTAACGTAACGTAACGTAAAGAAAAGTAAACTTATGTTAAGTTGAGTAAAGTAACGTAACGTAAAGTAACGTAGCGCAAAGTTAAGTAAACTAATTAAAAGTAACGTAACGTAAGCAAAAGTAAAAACCAACCGCAGTGTAGCTCCTGTAGATGGTGCTGTGTTGCCAAAAGTAAAGACCATCATCAAGAAAAAAATGGCGATAAAGATCGGCAGTTTTTGACAACCAGACGGGCAGTTTCCCAGCGAGGCTTCCACCGGTCCTGCTGTTTGGTTGTGAGCGATACACGTGCAGTTGGTGTATTGCTGAAATGCAGTTTACAAAGCGGATACAAGAATTTAAAAATTGGGAGGTGGGCTTTCTCATGTTTACTGGTAGTTTCGTTTTACATGTATGCAGGTTTATTTCAAGACAGTCTTTTTATAGAAGAAGTTATATAGGAGCACTAAATCGTGCCTAGATGGGGTGGGGTCGTGTGGCGTAGCGGCAGAGTGCGCGACTCGGAACCTAGAGGTCCCGGGTTCGAGTCCTGACATGCCACCGATCTTGTGCCCTTGGGAAAGGCACTGAACACGACTTTCCTCACTTTGGTGATTACATGTTTGAATTTAAAAAAAAACATTTATATACGTATACATATACATATACATATACATATTCTTGTACTAGTCTTGTTGTAAACGCGCAAATGTTCGCTGAGCGCAGAATTAGAAGAAATCGTAGAAATCAGAACATTCTCTGCAAGAACACGCTTTGCCACCTCAACAGCAGAAAATCACCCTTTCTTCCTCAATAGTCCATCAGTCAAGAGAAAATTTCATGCTGACACTTTCTTCCCCAGAACCACTTCACTGTGGAACAAGCTTCCCCGTGAATGTTTCACCGCTAATTACAACCTCCAACAGTTTAAATCAAGGGTGAACAAATATCTGACCACGCAGTCATCACTGTAACCCAAAACATGTAAGTGGCTCTCACGAGCCTTGTTTTGAGGTGAATTCTGAAGTAAATAAAAAAAAAAAAAGAATATCACATAATCTGTATTCAGTTATGCTTATATGGTTACCATCTTCCCGTCAGCGTCTGGTGTTAGTTCCCCGGCACATCCCGCGTGACAGGGCGAGAAGTACTGCAGACTGTCCGCCCCGCAAGTCAGCTTCAGAAACTCCCCCTGGCAGTTGCAGTTTGCATTGCAGCTGTCCGTGAGATTTGACGCTGTCCATTCTTCTGTGTTGGGGCTGAACACAACAGCAAAATTATCGTATTTGCTTAATACAGGCTTCTGGAAGCGGCTGGAAAGAGGACAAATTGGCCCAATAGAGAGATAACATGCCAGGGAGTTGGTCCGCTAGAAAGTAAAGTTTGCCGCACTTGGTCGAGGCTAGGCTGAATACCATGGATTCCTAATTATGGTCACTAGATTTTCAATGTTTAGTCTTTTAATTTTACCATTGCCTCTACCCAATCAGCATTCAATGCATGGCACATACGGAAAAATCCATTGGTGTTCCCGCACAGAAAACAGTATCATTAACTGACCAATCAATGTGCAATTACTACGATGTTTTAGTCTATCAGCAGCATTTTCTACTAGCTTCTAGAGGTCGCTCTTAAATAGTTAATGTAAGATAATATTTTGGCAATATTACGGGGGTGCCATTCTCCTTTAATCCACACGATGGCGCTCTTGATACGCGGTGATTGCCTGACGTTTTATGTTTGTCTGTTTGTTTGTTTGTTTGTTTGTTTGCTTGTTTGTTTGCTTGTTTGTTTGTTTGTCTTCTGTTTCTTTCTATACGTACCTGTTTCCGTATGCCTGAGTGACGCCTGAGAACGGTACGTTTGGGCAGCGCAGAAGGAAGACCAGTAGACACGCCAGGGCACAGACCGCGAACACCACACACAGCCGCAGCATGCCTCTACAGGTCAGCTTCAACTTCTTCATCAGTGCGCCGCCCAGGAGAGAGCCCAGGGCCGCGCCGGGCACGATGGCAGCCCCTGTAAGTAAGGACACACTGTCTTAAATCCAATGCAGTTTTTAGCGCTTGGAAACACGTCTTGCAACTGTCTTGTGGGGTCGTGTGGCGTAGCGGCAGAGTACTCGACTCGGAACCAAGAGGTCCCGGGTTCGAGTCCTGACATGCCAACGATCTTGTGCCCTTGGGAAAGGCACTTTACACGACTTTCCTCACTTAGCTCAAGTAAAAATGAGTATTTCCCTGTGTTGGTGACGGTATAAAACAAGTTGATATAACTTGAGTGTGTCGTCACCATGTCCAGTCATGAAATGTTGGAATAAAAAAAATCTAAAAAGTCTTGTACGATTTACAGTATGGTTGAGAACTTTTTTTTTTTTGGAAATGGCCGAAAACTTCATGCGCGCGCGGATGTCATCCATATAATCAAATCAACATGGCCTTACCGAAACATTAGCAGATACGTTGGTTGTGTCAGAAATGCAGCTTCAAAATCACTCCTCAACCAGAAGAGGCTGTGGCCTTACCTGATAATATAGCCGCGCTGCCAGGAGACCGGTTGTACTGGTTCTCCACGTACTTCGGTCCGAAGGTGGAAAACCCGCCGACCAAGAACGACTCCGTGGCCCCGGCCAGGCACAGGAACATGAAGGTGGGGTTACACAGGAGGAGTTTCAGCGCTGACGGAAAATCCCTCCAACTCTTCCCTGTATAACAAGGGCATTAGATGTTATAATTGTACTCTCTATTACTCTCCAAGCAGAGGTGAGAGGGAGAGAACGTAGGATATTCCGACATGGCTAGCTAAGGAAGGCACATTT